CCCCTATTTTTCCTTCCCCTACCCTTATATATAATTAAAAAAACATTTAACAAAATTAAACAAAAACAAAAGTTAGTGTACATTTCCAAGAATTTAAGGTATACCACTACATAATATTTTTTCGTGACAAGGTAAGGGGATTGTCCGTGTATATGCATAACTTTTATACGATATATTTAATTTAAATTGAAAAAAATGACTATGTTAGCATCTGTTGCAAACAAACTACAGCCATCTCCTGATTTTGAAACCCTTTAGTACTATTTCTAGAAGAAAACATGGCTGAATTGGTCACAAGCAGATGTCCAGTTGATTCTCTTTCAATTGCAAAAATTAAACTATGAAAACATGGAAAATAATCAAATGGAATCGAAGGTACCAGGAAAGAGCTAAATGATTAAACTAATATTAAAGCTTTGATTTAGTCAGTTGCTTCAGTTTTGTTGTTCTTTTTCTTTATTGTTATCTTATGATGTTATTAGTTGGTGCTTGATTAGGTTTCGACTGGTTTGGTTTATATGTTTGACTAAGGGGGGTTGTTAATGTCTATCTTCAGTTTTAACTACCTGCCCCAAGAATATGCTATGTTGATCATTGAACAACAACAATGAATATACATTAACTTCAAACAAGTTAATATAGATTATATAAATTCTTATTGTTCGTATACATCGCCCCTCATCTTGATCCTATAAAGTATCCAACATGACAAATTATGAGTGTTGGAGTTGAAAAGGTGGAGTCATTACGTAAGTACTTAGTTCAGCTTTTTGGCTTAGAGAAAAAATTACTATGGAACTTTTGCCACTCAATTTTATTTTAAGTACCTTTTTTATTTTCTTTTTAAATTTGTTTCTAATGATCAATTGAAAAGTAATAATATATCAAAGATAAAAACCGAATATATTATGAGGTTAAATTACTTAGGTGGGAATGGGTCCATGGAAAGGAAGTAACAGGAGGAAATGACCATATGGATATTTTCTTTTGTCTTTTTCTCATCAAGCCTGAGATGAATTTAAATAAGGAAACATGGTTAATGAAAATGAACATTTGTCTTATTTTTTATGGAGCCATAGAATGTTTGCATCAGGCTAGGATGTCTGTATAACACTCTCTTGGGATACGATCTTTTCTCGAACCCTGCGTAAACGCGAGATACTTGGTGCACCAGGTTGCCGTTTGGTTAGTGAAAATGAAACTTATTGTTGTCATTTTTTCCCGTCAAATCAGAAGACAAATAACTCAATCAACTCCATACTACAAACAGCAAGAACACCATTTATCATCCTTCAGAACAATATATGCTCGATAGGCTATATCTCATTATGAAAAATCAATGAATAATAATATGTTACAACATAAAAGAAGCCATATATACAAACCCCAACTGTGATAAGAGATTTGCAAGAACACCTTGTTCAAATGTAACCCCCCATGTTGGTCAAAAAATCTTCGGAAATCCAAACCTAGTTTCAAATACGAGATGGCCTCGCCCTCTAGCCTTTCCCAGCACATAGGAAGAAATTGCTTCGCAGTTGTAAAGCTCAAGATCAATGAGCTTAAGCAAGAATTGCTCATTTCCGCAATGCACAAATCAAATATCAGCTGTGGATAGAACGTTCGGTTCCGCAATCAACTTCTCGAATCCTTTGCTAAGGCACTATACGAGTCTAAGTATTCTGAATCATGCAACAGAATGTAATGCCCATCCTCCATTGACTTTATACGTTCCCCGTCATACCATGTTATGGTTCCTGTATAAACCAATGGAATATTTACAGTGTGAAAGTAGAAAAATACCAGCACCAGCGGAAACGAGATATTTGTTTTTTGGTAATAAGCTGTAAATATATTACCACAACAAACAAAAAACAATTACACACTAAAGAGCACCTGAGGATTCAGTACCACCTTCCATGAAGGGTGCATGTTTCACCAAGCCTCCAGAATCAGACTCTCTTCTAATTACACAATCTTTGCACTATATACCTACATTTCCTAGCTCGTTTACTGTCTTTCATATGATCTATCATTCCTCTAATTTCTTTCTTCACCTGAGTAACTACTTGCTCTATATATATTTACAGTTGTTGCCTTGAAAAGTTTCCAATTCCTCGCCTGCCAAGTGTGGTAGATTACTGCTCCCAGAACTGCTACTGCAATTTCTTTCTTGAATTGTCTCCAATGCCTGCCATTGATCCACTTTAATCCCTATGTCACTTGTTTCCTCTGCATTGTAATGCCTGACCAACTTTCCAGTCGATCCTGCAACTCTGATGACCATTCACACTCCGAGAAAAGATGTTTCTGAGTCTCCTCTTTATCATCTTCACATATACCACATATCTTGGAGTTAATAGGAACCTGTAATCGACTAAGTCTTTCTTTTGTGAATAATCTGTCTTGATTAGCCAACCACATTATGAACCTATGTCTTGGAAGCAATAATGAGCTCCATATCAATTCTGCCACTTTCAATCTTTGCATATTTCCCAATAGAGCATTGTAGCTCCTGGTAACTGAATATTTTCCATTGGTTGTTAAACAATAAGAGCCATTTTGGTACCATCCTGCCATGCTACCCTTAAGTGCATGTAATTTCCTCCAATACCAGCTACTATCTTGTGATGGTTCATGAGTCCAGAAATTCTGATTGTCTTTCATATAAATACAATGAACCCATTTAACCCACAGAATATCTTCCCTTCTTGCCAAT